AATCATATGACAATGTTATCATGGTATCAGAGCAGAGGTTTGATACGTTGTTAGAAGTCTTTGTAGGGTTACTGTAGCATGCCGTTTTTCGTTCATTATCACTGGTATTCGTTTTTTTTTTGATATGTTGATTCGTTGCTACTGTTGATTCGTTGCTGTTGTCGGTTCGTTGCTACTGTCGGTTCGTTGCTGCTGTTGGTTCATAATTGTTGTTGATTCGTTACTCAAGTGATTGCTTCCGCTGGTTTGTTACTCCTTTCATTCTCGGATTATTATATTGTCATTGTGGTTATTCATTCACTATCAACATGACTGGAAAGGATGATTCCCTTCAGTCAATCAGTACTTGTTTGGATGGAAAGAATTATCGTATTGGAGTTACGTTATGAAGAACTTCCTTCGTGGGAAGAATATGTAGGGCTATGTCACTGGGACTAAAGTCAAACCCTCAGTGCCTCAAACTGAGAATTATGATATGTTGCTTGATGCTTGGGAGACTGATAACTCCAAGGTTATTACTTGGATCAATAACTCTGTTACTCAGTCCATTGGTATGCAGTTGGCTAATTATGATACAGCAAAGGAAGTTTGGAATCACTTGGAGAGACTGTATACTCAGTCCAATTTCGCTAAACAATACCAATTGGAATATGATATTCGTTCCCTTCAACAGAATGACCAGAGCATTCAACATTTCTATGCTGCTATGTCTGATCTCTGGGATCAATTAGCTCTTACTAAATCTAAAGAGTTAAAAGATTTTGAGCCTTACATTGCTAGGAGGGAAGAACAACGCTTGGTTCAGTTCTTGATGGCCTTGCGTTCTGATTTTGAAGGTCTTCGTGGAAAAATTCTTCATCGCTCTCCTCTTCCTTCAGTTGATTCAATTGTCCATGAGTTAATTGCAGAAGAGACTCGTATCAAGTTCCATGCAGATAAAGGGTTTAAAGCAACCTCTACTCCTACTCCTGCTCCTGCTGTGCTTGCTGTCTCCTCCAGTCAATCTCGACAAACTTCAGGAGTCGCTTATGATGAGTGTGCATTCTGCAAACAGAAGAATCATTAGAAAGCTCAGTGTCCATTGTTAGTCAAGAAGGGTAAATCTGGTCAACCTCAGTCAGGGCAACAAAATAGGTCTGGTCAACAGAAGTATCAGTCGCGTTCCTCTGGTACTCCTCCATGGACCCCTCGTCCTCCACAGTTTGCTGCTGCTGCTGTTCCACCAGTTGACACAGAATCTGTTGGACATATGCCACCATCTGCATTAGATCCCAAGGTGTTTGAGAGCTTTAGACAGTATTTGGCTTCTAATCCCACTGCTATGTCTGCATCTATGTCTCATTCTGGTCCTTCTTCATCTGACACTTCAGGTATTCCCTCATCTTTGTGGATTTTAGATTCTGGTGCAACCCATCATATGACTCCTCATTTGTCATCATTTACTTCTTTGTCGTAAGTGTCATCTATTTCTGTTAAGTCTGCTAGTGATACATCTATGCTAGTTGAGGGTGTTGGGTCTGTCTCCCGTTTCTCATATAACTCTTCCTGATGTTTATTACATTCCCAAACTTACTTTGAACCTTGCCTCAGTCAGTCAGTTATGCAAGTCTGGTAACTGGGTGTTCTTTTCTGATTCTGTCTGTGTTATATAGGATCAACACACCCAGAAGGTGATTGGGATCGGCCGTAGGGTGGGGGAACTATATGTCTTGGAGGTCCTCAAAGTATCTGCTGTTGCTGCTTCCAGCATTGATTTATCTTCTTTTCGTTTGAGTCCTTTGCCGTCTGAGTTTTATCTTTGGCATTCTCGTTTGGGACATGTGTCTGTATCACGGTTGAATTTCTTAGCATCTAGTGGTCTTTTGGGTCATTTAAACTCTTGTAATATTTTAATATTGTAGTGGTTGCAAACTAGCAAAATTTTATGCTTTACCCTTCAATAAAAGTATGTCTTGTTCTACTGCTCCTTTTGATATTATTCATTCTGATGTGTGGGGTCCTGCACCAGTATCCATAAAGGGTGGGTCAACCTATTATGTATCTTTTATAGATGATTATACTCGATATACATGGGTTTATCTTATGAAACGCAGATCTGATTTCTTTGGTATTTACAACAATTTTAGAGCTCTTGTTAAACCTCAACATTCGGCTGTGATTAAGTGCTTCAGGTGTGACTTAGGGGGTGAATATACCTCTAATGATTTCACTCAGTTACTTGCTTCTGATGGTACCATACACCAGTCTTCGTGTACTGACACACCTCAGCAAAACGATGTGGCAGAACGAAAACATCGTCATATTGTTGAGACTGCCCGCTCATTGCTCCTGTCTGCGCAGGTCCCTAGTGCATTTTGGGGAGAAGCAGTCCTAACTGCTGTTTATGTGATTAATCGTATCCCTACTTCATTGAATTCAGGAATATCTCCTTTTGAGAAGTTATATGGTCATCCACCAAAACTACTCTTCCTTACGAGTTTTTGGATGTACTTGTTTTGTTCTTCGTCCTCACGTTGAAAGGAACAAGCTGGGGCCGAAATCTGCTATTTGTGTATTTTTGGGGTATGGGATTGGTCAGAAAGGATACTGTTGCTATGATCCTGTGAGTCAGAAGTTATATGTTTCTCGGCACGTTACTTTTTTGGAACATATTCCTTTCTACTCGATTCCTGCTACAGCCCACAATGTAACAAAGTCTGATCTTCTGCGTATTGATCCTTTTAATGAAGATATAGAGGCTCAAGACTCATCTATGCCACATGATCCCTCAGTAGATGACACACCCACTTCTTCAGAGGGTGCCTCGACTCCACCTGTTCCTGAGCCTGATCCTCCGATTATTGAAGTTGAGGATCCTCCTCCACCACCACCCCTCAGGAGATCTTCTCGTCCTGTCAAGTCCACCAAGCTACCAGATTTTTCTTACTCTACATATTCAGGACCGTTTGCTTCATTTATAGCAAGCATCCATCATCTGTCTGAACCTGAATCATATAGAGAAGCTGTTTCAGATCCTCTTTGGCAGAATGCTATGGCTGAAGAACTCACTGCTCTTCATCAGACTCATACATGGGATTTGGTTTCTCTTCCTCCTGGGAAACATACGATAGGTTGGCGTTGGCTGTACAAGATAAAAACAAAAGCTGATGGCTCTGTTGAATGATATAAGGCTAGACTTGTAGCAAAAGGGTATTCCCAACAGTATGGTTTTGACTACGAGGAGACATTTGCCCCAGTTACAAAGATGACGACAGTTCGTACTATGATTGCAGTTGCATCCGTTCGACAGTGGAAGATCTTTCAAATGGATGTCAAGAATGCCTTTTTGAATAGTGACCTTCATGAAGAGGTTTATATTACCCCTCCTCCAGGAATTCAGCACCGACCGGGCGAGGTTTGTCGGCTTCGCAAAGCTTTGTATGGGCTCAAGCAAGCCCCTCGTGCTTGGTTTGAGAAATTCTCCACAGTGATTACCTCTCTTGGATTTGTCCAGAGTAATCATTATTCTGCTCTATTTGTTAGATGCTCGAGTGCAGGACGGATTCTTCTGTCCTTATATGTGGATGACATGATTATTACAGGTGATGACCATGGTGGTATTGAGTCTTTGAAGCATGATCTAGCTCGTCGATTTGCTATGAAGGATTTGGGCTTGCTGCGTTATTTCTTGGGTATTGAGGTCGCTCAGTCTAAGAAAGGGTACCTTCTTTCCCAGACTAAATATATATCTGACTTGTTTACACGGGCGGGACTTTCTGACAATCGGAATGTTGATACCCCTCTTGAAACCAATGCTCGATACTCTCCTACTGATGGTGTTCCTTTGTCTGATCCGAATCTTTATCGTACTGTGGTGGGAAGTTTGGTTTATCTCACAGTCACTCGTCCAGATATTGCTCATGTTGTTCATATTGTCAGTAAGTTTGTTACTGCACCTACCTCTGTTCATTGGGGAGCTGTTCTTCGTATTCTGAGATATCTTCGTGGCACTCAGTTTCAGACTCTCTTGTTTCCCTCGACGTCTTCTCTTGAGTTACGTGCCTATAGTGATGCTGATTGGGATGGTGATCGTCATGATCGTAAGTCTACCACTGGATTTTGTGTATTTCTTGGAGAGTCTCTTATTTCATGGAAGAGCAAGAAACAGGATGTTGTCTCTAGATCTTCCACGGAGGCTGAATATCGTGCTATGGCTGTAACTACATGCGAGATTATCTGGTTACGGTGGCTGCTTGCGGATATGGGAGTTTACATTTCTTCACCTACTCCCTTGAATTGTGATAATAAAAGTGCGATACAAATTGCGAAGAATTCTGTTTTTCATGAGCGGACGAAGCACATTGGGATTGATTGTCATTTTACTCGTCATCATCTGCAGCTTGGGACCATTTCGCTTCCATTTGTTTCATCAACTTTGCAGCTTGTGGATATTTTTACGAAGGCTTTATCGGCTTCTCGGTTTCGGTTCTTATGTGACAAACTCTCAATGCTTATTGCTGCGGCATTGTGAGTTTGAGGGGGGATGTTAGTCTATATTATTAGCCCGCTTGTTTATGGGCCCTTTTTGTCTTTAGCCCAATAGGATTTCTGTCTAGCTAATATTTATATTCGCTTTATTCCTTGTAGTCTTTATGCTTTTCTCTGAGAACCCTTGTAATTTCTTTGATATAATCATATGACAATGTTATCAGAAATTACTTTATTTTATACTTAAAATTTGGTTATTTGAATTGTATTAAACTTAGTTTTTCATTTTGTTGTGCTTGAAAGTGCATTGATATTCTTGTTTCCATTTTGAAAGTGCTTTGCAATTATTGGTTCCATTTTGAAAGTGCATTCCAATTCTTGGTTGCATGTTGGTAGTACATTGCTAATCGTTGTTCCAAAACTCGTTTTATTACGAAAAAATCACAAAACCTGATCTAATTTGAAAAACAACCAAAAAACCAGCATCGGGACCTGGACTGGAACCGGCACCGGCCGTACGGTTCTCGATTCTTGTTAACTCTTAAATCAAGTTCGGGTTCTAAACCGGTTCGGTCCAAGATTATATACATACACTTACTTCCCTCAACATAACTAGGCATGTCTAGATCATATGTAAGGCAATCTTGGCCCTACTTCACCATTTTAAGTGATGTGGTAATTAGAAGTATATATCCTTTATACATTAATGCGTAGTTTTCCAAATGCTGCAAAATTTGGTTTTTTCTCAGGCATGATACATGGTTCCGGGTTTGCTTTTACTGGCAATATAAGGTCACGAAGGCGCTTCTCCATCGAAAGTTGTTTTTGCGAAACTGTCCAAGAAGGCAAAACAGTCAGTCATAACGTAATTAAACGCACCAAATAGTATGTAGTTGATTAAGATGCATACTCTTGGAGAGCCTCTCCATTAGTTTTTTCCCTGTAGGGGATAAACGTGCCGGTTTCCAAGTTCACCCTTGAAACTTTCTTTTTAAGTAAGCTTTCACCAACCTTAACCAAATATTCCAAATTGTCCTTGGTAGCTCTATCAAGTGACAACAATGACCTTTCTAATCCATCCTCCTGTTTCATACAACTTTGTTGATATATCATAACAAAATTAATCTTTATCAATAATTCTAACTAAAAATGTAAATACCCCTGAACGACTCACGCTTATATAAATTTGTAAGTGTACGTAGTTCCTTCGGAGCTATTATATTTTTATGCCAATGTTTCAAAATTATAACATAAAGATTACACACAAACCTGGATGCGTAGGTAATTTTCTTCAATGTTGAGGGCTTTGAAGACAACTGAAAGGTGGTTATCAACCATATCAGTGCTAGATTGAGTGGAAATATCAAGTAGGGGAGTGGAGCCATTGGCATTGAAAAACCATCCTAACAAGCCCCATTTTGAAGCCTCTTTTGCGTTATATTTCCATTTCATTTTGCATTCACCAGTTCCAATAGATATAACCAAAAATCTACGATAATCTAGGGATTGGGATACATGAAAATCGCTACTTTTGCGAATGAGTTGCTTACCAATTTCACCCATTGCAATAAGAGTCTGTTGTAGAATAAAAACTGAGTAAGAAGATGTCCATTTTGTAGTGAAATTGATTAAAAAATGTGTTAATCTGTAATTAATCATAAAAAACAATTAACATAGTTAAAGAAGATTTTAATATGATCTATGTCCTTCAACATTCTTAGATCTTGTGCTTTTGAAAGTTTCTTAAAAAATTATAAGGGTCAAATGGACCATTATGTTCCAAATTTATAATTGACGAGTATTCTAACCGGATTATTTACTGCTACACCACCATCAACTAGGTTAAACTCATGCTTGTGTCCCTCATGAATCGTTTCAAAATGATATGGTGGAAGATAAGTAGGCGTTGCTGATGTTGCTATGCAAATATCCGACAACAAGGCATTCAAATATGACTTTTCCTTCATCTATCAACATGAAAAAAGATCGCATGGGAAATATTTGTATGAGTAATATAACAATTACGTCTCACAAAGGAAAAAGATAATCAAAACGTACCTCATAGTTGGAAAAGATTGTTGGCTGGAGTGTCCGGATGTCAAAAGTAGGAATAACAACATTAGTTAATGTATCTTCCAATCTAATGTTTTTAAACCTCTTCCTAATGGAGTTGTGGAGGTACTTCCCATCATATAGTGGCCCAGTTAAGCTCTTTATAATTTTTGTTAACATATTGCTGTTTTTCAAGAAATCAAAACCATGTCATGACGTCAATATAACTCATTTCGTGTGTAAATGGGAAAATTTGGTGTTGTAAATTTCTTTGTAACAATTCTCTTCTAAAACGACGCTGTTCTCTTCTTAAAAAAGAAGACTATATTCTGTTTTAAAGTTGTAGAATTTGTCTTTGTAACATTTTACTCGAATCCTTTAGATTCTCTTAAGCAAAGGTGAAGTGCTATAATTTTATTCTATTTGGATGGTTACACAAATAATATTTCCAATTTCAAACTAGTTACATGAAATTATTACCAATCTTGAGGGAAGATCTTTGGGCAATTCTGGAGATAAAAATTCTTGATGTCTTTAGCGGAAAATAAAGGGCGCTCTTTTTCATCAGGAGCGGTTAACATCGCAGTGATCAGACCACCCGTACTTGTCCCAGCAATTACATCAAAATAGTCCGCTATTCTTGCGTCTTCACCATCTATTCTCTGAGCAATAAATAAAAATTACGATTGCAAAGAACAAGAATTATCAGATTTGTAACATGGCAAAGATATCATACACGTTTCAAACAAAAAAACAGTTAAAATTTTGAGAAATCAAAGGAAGCATGTTATACCTTAAGCTCATTCTCAAGAAAGTCGAGGATAATAGCTGGTATAAGACCTCTGATTCCACCTCCATCGATGCTAAGAACTGTGATCAACTTCCCAAAAGCTGGGGGCTGTAGTACTGACTTCGTTCTCTCCATTTGAGTACTGAGATTTCTCTGTGGATATGTGTATAAATTTGTTAGTGACTTATCTTTTATCCTCGCAACTGAATAGTTGCCTACTTTATTGGGATTCCTATTTATAGTCCCATTCTCTATTTTCCTTGAACTGACTTTTTGAGGCTTGTTAAATTGAGCTTTATTTTATTAAAATGGTTGGTACAAAAACTATGCATTCACATAGCAGAACTATATCACGAATCAAGAAACGATGGAAACCATAGGGTAAAAGTTGTTTTTTCACATGAAGTGTCTTTTACTTAAATGACTTCGGATGTTTTTTTTATATGCATAGGCATATAAAAAGAATATTAACCTCTTTAGATTTTAAAGGTAGCTATGTCAATAATATGTGGTAGCGATACTTTATTATAAAACAAGAACAAAATTTCATATAGTGCGTGACAGTTATAATGCATGATAATGTAAAAGATTAATAATACACATGACATGATTAGACTTGTAGGTCCCTTTTAGCACATCAATTCGACCAAATTTTGTGAACGCACTACTTCTGTCAATTTTGTTCTACAACATAGATGGACACCTTTCTTCCACAATAATTCCATTTCTACAGGCTACAACTCTCGTCTCGTATCTTCATGTCCATCACTATCTCAGTTTTGCATGGAATCCTCAACCAATCTTTGTCATATATGTTTGAACCCACTTGTTGTCTAAGGAGGATTAATCACCAGCTAAAAAAGAAACAAAAAACAATGACACATCTCTTTTGTTATGTATTGTTTTTCACTCACTATACTCTTTGAAGTAATTTTGAAATTAATTAACTTGTTAAATATAATGACACATAGCCTTTTGGGAAGTTTGACAATACTTGAGTCTGTGGTCTCGATCGAGACCTCTAAAGTCCAAACAATATATTGTATATAAATAGTTTAATTACGATCTTTATTCGACTGTTACATTTATACTAAAATTGAATAACTTCAATATGTTTCAGAAAGCAATTCCATGTAAAATAAAGCTTTATTAAAAATGCCAATTACAAATAGTGGAGTTACTGTCGCATTGAAAATGATAAAAGAACTTTTAATTCCGGAGCTTATCCGCAATAAAATTATAATTATAATTTATCAAAATTATAATTTTATTCAACTTTTTTATTAAGTTTTGTACGTGAGCATTGTATTTAATTTTTTTTTTTTACTAAATCATAGTGTTTTGAAAATTAATTCCCCAAAGCCAGTAACTTATTTTTTGGTGGTTTGTTTTTAATATTCATGAAAAACAATAAATTATATCACTAGAACAATTCCTTTATTTCAAAGAACCAGATCTACAGACCAATTCTCTCATATGGAGAACCAAATCAGAAAAAGAAGATACAACCAAAATCTCGCTACAACTCTCTTCTCTTAAATTACAAACATTCCTTAGTAGCTACATCTCTCTGCTATGATTTGAAAACCGGATCGGACCTGCCGGTTTAACTGGAAGCAAAAAAACCATATGTCATGTGAATCGGTGAAAACCGGTCAAACCGGTAAAAATCAGTCCGGCTGAACCAATTTAATTAGTTTAACCTTAGACACCTAATCCAACAACTATCTAGGACTATCTAATTCTATGGGAATGTAATCCTACCGTACTGATCGGATAATAGTTAACTAACATCGACATAGATTTCAAACAATACAAATCAATAAACAGTCAAACGGTCAATCATCTACTAGACAATATGTTGGCTACAAGACATCTTAAATATCAAACAATTCCAACATGATGTTAATGAAAGATCCTTAGACTACTTACTAGCATGCAATTTTAACAGTTCACATATCAGTATATATATATATCAATTATGGATATTTTGAGAACCACATTTATGTTCGAGTTCCGACTGACTATGCACATCGCAACTCCTTTCTCCTTTTGTAAATATTTAATTCAAAATGTTTGTGATAATTTCTCGGATCCTTAGTTTGAGTTTGGAATCCCATAAGTGTTCATCCAAATCTCTCAAACCAGGGCTCTGATACCAACTTGTAATGTTTTGATTTTTTAATTAAAATTTTCATTTTCAAAATAGAATAAACACACATTTCCATAAAGATGCATCCAAGGCAAAGCCATTTATTCATAAGCCATAACTAAAATCCGAGTTATAGGGAAGAGATAGGAGAAATCTCTAATCATAAGATTGCTAATCTGTGTCTACGGATACACATTCGTAACCCCACGAACTGATAAAGTACTTGAAAAACATTTAATCCACAACTGTAAGGCAAATCTTCGTGGGTTCCACAAAACATCACATATGACAATATATATAACAGCAATGGGTCCAAATCAACCCCACGTACGTATGAATCCAACGAGTAACTAGGCTCACAAAATTATAGTTGATATTGACATCAACTCGCCCCTTAGGAATGTCTAGACTCATAACACTTATTGTTGATCTTGTTATCAACTCACCCTTTGGCTTCAGCATACAGTTGATTTGCTCGCATCTTGGCCTTTAGCATAAAGTTGGACCGCCTCAGTCCATCACAAAATTTGTAGACATATACATATTACAGATAAAAAGCAAACTCAACATCACAGGTAACAGTCCACTACTACAAAATGGCACATAGGACCCATCATATAGGACCTGGTTTTAAAAAAAATCGGGTTATATATCTTATAGAAACCGGGTTTTTTAATATAAAAAAGTATGCGACCCGTTTATCCGAAAGAAATCGGGATTTATGTAAAGATATTTTTTGGATTTATTTTATTCTCCTTAAAAAACCAAGGTTAAATTTTTATTTCCCTCCACTCTCCCAAAATTTCCCGCTCCTGTGTCATACACGAACTATAAATTTATATTCTAAATTCGTAAATAAATTAAATACAGTACATTACTTTCCCCAAAATGATACCCTATCTCTTGGTTGAGTTTACGCAGTGGAGTCCTCCTCCGCCTCCGTCTACACCATCGTCGTTTTCCCATTTTCATTCAAGATTGTGTTCTTTCTCTGTTTCTTATACTTTCTAAACCTCGTTTGGGGTTTTTTTTGGAATTTTGATTCAGATCTACTTGTGTTTGTTAGTCTATATATTATTAGCCCGCTTGTTTATGGGCCCTTTTGTCTCTAGCCCATTAGGGTTTCTGTCTAGCTAGTATTTATATCCGCTTTATTCCTTGTAGTCTTTATGCTTTTCTCTGAGAACCCTTGTAATTTCTCTTTGTTATAATCATATGACAATGTTATCATGGTATCAGAGCGGAGGTTTGATACGTTGTTAGAAGTCTTTGTAGCAGTCATATGTAGCAGTCATTTGTAGCAGTCATCTAGGGTTACTGAAGCATGCCGTTTTCGTTCATTATCACTGGTATTCGTTTTTTTTTTTTTTGATGTGTTGATTCATTGCTACTGTTGATTCGTTGTTGCTGTTGGTTCGTTGCTACTGTTGGTTCGTTGTTGTTGTTGGTTCGTAATTGTTGTTGATTCGTTATTCAAGTGATTGCTTCTGCTGGTTTGTTACTCCTTTCATTCTCAGATTGTTATATTGTCATTGTGGTTATTCATTCACTATCAACATGACTGGAAAGGATGATTCCCTTCAGTCAATCAGTACTCGTTTGGATGCAAAGAATTATACGTATTGGAGTTACGTTATGAAGAACTTCCTTCGTGGGAAGAATATGTGGGGCTATGTCACTGGGACTAAAGCCAAACCCTCAGTGCCTCAAACTGAGAATTTTGATATGTTGCTTGATGCTTGGGAGACTGATAACTCCAAGGTTATTACTTGGATCAATAACTCTGTTACTCAATCCATTGGTATGCAGTTGGCTAAGTATGACACAACAAAGGAAGTTTGGAATCACTTGGAGAGACTGTATACTCAGTCCAATTTTGCTAAACAATACCAGTTGGAATATGATATTCGTGCCCTTCAACATAATGACCAGAGCATTCAAGATTTCTATGCTGCTATGTCTGATCTTTGGGATCAATTGGCTCTTACTGAATCTAAAGAGTTAAAAGATTTTGAGCCTTACATTTCTAGGAGGGAAGAACAACGCTTGGTTCAGTTCTTGATGGCCTTGCGTTCTGATTTTGAAGGTCTTCAGTTCTAGGAGGGAAGAACTCCCGCTCCTGCTGTGCTTGCTGTCTCCTACAGTCAGTCTCAACAAACTTCAAGAGTCGCTTATGATGAGTGTGTATTCTGCAAATAGAAGAATCATTGGAAAGCTCAGTGTCCATTGTTAGTCAACAAGGGTAAATCTGGTCAACCTCAGTCAGGGCAACAAAATAGGTCTGGTCAACAGAAGTTTCAGTCGCGTTCCTCTGGTACTCCTCCATGGACCCCTCGTCCTCCACAGTTTGCTGTTGCTGCTGTTCCACCAGTTGACACAGAATCTGTTGGACATATGCCACCATCTGCATTGGATCCCAAGGTTTTTGAGAGCTTTAGACAGTATTTGGCTTCTAATCCCACTGCCATGTCTGCATCTATGTCTCATTCTGGTCCTTCTTCATCTGGCACTTCAGGTATTCCCTCATCTTTGTGGATTTTAGATTCTGGTGCAACCCATCATATGACTCCTCATTTGTCATCATTTACTTCTTTGTCGCAAGTGTCATCTATTTTTGTTAAGTCTGCTAGTGATACATTTATGCTAGTTGAGGGTGTTGGGTCTGTATCTGTTTCTCATATCACTCTTCCTGATGTTTATTACATTCCCGAACTTACTTTGAACCTTGCCTCAGTCAGTCAGTTATGCAAGTCTGGTATATGGCTGTTCTTTTCTGATTCTGTCTGTGTTATATAGGATCAACACACCCAGAAGGTGATTGGGATCGGCCGTAGGGTGGGGGAACTATATGTCTTGGAGGTCCTCAAAGTATCTGCTATTGCTGCTTCCATCATTGATTTATCTTCTTTTTGTTTGAGTCCTTTGTCGTCTGAGTTTTATCTTTGGCATTCTCGTTTGGGACATGTGTCTGTATCACGTTTGAATTTCTTAGCATCTAGTAGTGTTTTGGGTCATTTAAACTCTTGTGATATTTCAGATTGTAGTGGTTGCAAACTAGCAAAATTTTCTGCTTAACCCTTCAATAAAAGTATGTCTTCTTCTACTGCTCCTTTTGATATTATTCATTCTGATGTGTGGGGTCCTGCACCAGTATCCACAAAGGATGGGTCAACCTATTATGTATCTTTTATAGATGATTATACTCGATATACATGGGTTTATCTTATGAAACGCAGATCTGATTTCTTTGATATTTACAACAATTTTAGAGCTC